GATGAATGAGGGTGGGAGGAAGATCTTAAAGTGCCCGCTGTGTGTTAGGAATCTAGAAAAATCTTCCAGCAGGCATGGAAGCTGAGGGGATAGTAGAGAGAAGCTGAGAGGACAGCTCCAGGCAAGATTTGGATGAGATGTCAGGAAGCTGGCTTTTCTGCCTGGGGATCTAGGCTGCCTGGATTCCCAAGGTCCTGGGGAGGTGTCTAACCCTGCATGTGGCCACATTCACCTGGGGCCAGGCCTTGGGCCAGCTCTTTAATAGGGAAGGACCCAAGAGTCATGGCCTGGTGGTGTCTGGATGGGCTTCCCCCAGGCCTTTCTGAGCCATGGAGAGAATTCTGGAGATGGCGCTCAAGACCCCTGCACTGTGTACCTCCTTTCTCACCTTTGGCCAGGAGCAGCAGGGACCATAGAAACTTAAGGAGGAGGGTAAAGGCATTGCCCAGAATCCTGAAAGTATGAGTAAAGCCTCAGAGCCCCCTCTCGGTCTCTCAGTAAATTCTCTCCACTTTGTAGTTAGTTGCCTGGGTTCTACCAGGAACCAGGTTGAGACAAGCAAGTGAGTTTGGGGTATCTCCTACTTCTTTGGGGAAGTAGGAAAAGAGCGGAGCATCGGGTGGACCTGGCTGTAATTCAAGGATTATGACTTTGTTATTGTAGGGGATTTCTCTTTGGAAGGTGGCCTGAAAATTGAATTGGAGTGTCCTTGTTTCTCCTATTGTCCAGGGGAATATATATGGCTGGAGACAGAATCTAGAGCCTTCAAATAATGTGAAGATGTTTCCACCTTCAGGTCAGTGGGACCAGGCAAGGGGAGTGGTGGTTGCCTCTGCCTGGGAAACTGACCATCTTTGCTTTTGTAATTCTCAGGTTCCACTGGGCTGATTCCCCCCTCCCACTTTCAAACTCGGCCCCTTTCAACTCTACCAAAAATGGCTCCCACCTGGCTCGCAGACATTCCCCTGGTCCAACCCCCAGGCTATCAAGATGTCTCAGAGAGGCGGACAGACACCCAAAGACCTCAAGTGACAATGTGGGAACGGGATGTTGCCAGTAACAGACAGGAGCCAGGGCAGAGAGGCAGGTAGGGATCCATCCTTGCCATTTTCTCTGGCTTGCTTGCTAATGAGCCTTCCTCACTGGAATATCTTACCCTGTTTTGGCCAGTGTTTCCATAAGTTACTCATTTTTATGTAAGCAATTACTAGTTCCTACAGTGCATAAATAATAAAGCAACGTGCTAGGTGCTAGGGATGGGGATAACAATAGTGAATAAGACAAACGTGACTTGAATTTGTAATTAATAAGGAACCTAAAACCCTAAGAGGGGAGATAGATTGACCACCAGCTGATTATAAAGCGTAGCATGAGGCAAGACGAAGAAGTGCAAACTGGAAGTAGAGACCCAGCACTGTGGCGGTGTGGGTTGACTCTGATGGAAGAAAGCCTTTACAGAGGACATGCTATGGGAGCTGGCCATGCTCTCTGTCGTATTGTCTGTAAACATTCTCATTCTTGCTTCATGTGCCTTTTCCCAGATGTACTAGGATATCATTCTGCCATTTTGCTCCAGAGTAGGATTACATTAGAAGCAGCAGCATGATAAAGAAGGAGGAATACTAGACTGGGTGTCGGGAGACAGAGACTCTGTTTCTAGTTTGGCTACCAGCTAGAGGACATCTGGCAAGTCACTTAATTTCCCTAGACTACAGATCCCTGCTACTTTTTAAAAAAAAAAGAAGAAGAAAGAAAAAGCCAGGTATGGCAGCTCACACCTATAATCCTAGCACTTTGGGAGCTGAGGCAGGAGGATCCCTTGAGCCCAGGAGTTCAAGACCAGCCTGGGCAACAAAGTGAGACTCCGTCTCCACAGAAAATAATTAGCTGGCTGTGGTTGCATGCATCTGTAGTCCCAGCTACTCGGGAGGCTAAGGTGGTAGGACTGCTTGAGCTCAGGAGTTCAAAGAGGCAGTGACTTACGATCCAGCCACTGGATCGTGCTGCACTGAAGCCTGGGTGACAGAGTGATGCCCTGTCTCTAAAAACAACAACAATCTCCTGTGGTCCAGGGTCTCAGAGAGAGAGCTGCCTCAGGAGCCATGTTCCAAACTGGATTAAACTTTACGTGACATTGGTAGATGATATTCTCCAAAGGTTGGCACTATGTTATTTATGTCCTGGTCTCTCAGACGCCTCATAAAGTATACCTAACACTCGATAAATGCCTTTAACTAGCACTTGGCCTCACCATATTGATACTGGAAGCTCATGACCTTTTTATGCCCATTCCTTCCTCAAACTTCTTGCCCTTAAATCAGAATTCAGAAGTCTCTGTGTGTTCGTCCAACTTTTCCACTTAAAATGTGTGCCTAAAAATGAAAAAATAAATAAGACAAACACCAAAAAACAAAAAGAATGTGGTGGCCTAATGGTACACACGTTTGATGTTGAATCTGCCTGTATGTAGCGCTCTCTAGAGAGATCATGTTTCAGGATCTCAGCCAGACTTTAGGTCCTGTGAGTCCAGGCACTGGACTTAACATGCTCAATAGGGCTTTGATGAATGATGATGATATAGGTGCAGACATCCCCATGCCCCAGCTTCAGCACCCCCTTCACCTCCCAACACGAGTGCAGAGGGGTCCTCTTTTGCTTCTCCTGGCTATGTTTATGCTCTCACCTATCCTTCCATCTCTGGAGACAAGTTTCATCTGCACTAACTTGTCTTTGAAGGTGCCGGGAGTTGGAGGGGTCACAGGCCCTGAGCCAGCAGGCTGAGCTGATCTCTCGGCAGCTGCAAGAGCTACGGCGGCTAGAGGAGGAGGTCCGGCTCCTGCGAGAGACCTCGCTGCAGCAGAAGATGAGGCTAGAGGCCCAGGCCATGGAGCTGGAGGCTCTGGCACGGGCGGAGAAGGCTGGCCGAGCCGAGGCCGAGGGCCTACGTGCTGCTTTGGCTGGGGCTGAGGTCGTCCGGAAGAACATGGAAGAGGGGAGTCAGCGGGAGCTGGAAGAGGTTCAGAGGCTGCACCAAGAGCAGGTGAATCCAGAGGTGGAAAGGATTCAAATTCATAATGGAGAGCTGGGCAGTAGCTTCCAAGCAAGTATTGCAGAAAAGACTCCCCCATGAGTAGTAAGTAGTGGAATGATGAGACCTTTGGTGAAAGGAAACACACGTGGCCTAGAAAGATGGAGAACTTGGGTGCTTTGATCTTAATTCAGATTCCACTTTTTCCCTGAGACTCAGGTGGCCTCCCACCACTTGAAGCCCTCCTTTCCTTTCTAGTAGGAAGTAGTTTGCCTCCCTACTTTACCGCAGGTACCAGTTCATTGGGGGTATTGTGGAGGGCAGTGAGGAAGGTTGGTAAGGAGGCTGTGGTGGACTGGGATACAGATTATTCAGTCCACAGTGCTTACTCTTTGCCATCTATGAGACTTAGTGACCAAATTAGCCTGAGTCCTGCCTTCGTGGATGAAGCTGACAGCCTTGTGGGGATACACTCATCTATATTTAATTTAATCATAAGTAATTGCAATTGGGGAGAATGCCTTGAAGGACTAGAGAGCACTAACTTGGTCTGGGGTTCAGGGAATGCTGCTATAACCAGTCAGTCAACATTTCTTTTTTTTTTTTGAGACGGAGTTTCGCTGTTGTTGCCCAGACTGGAGTGCAATGGCACAATCTCGGCTCACCGCAACCTCCACCTGCTGGGTTCAAGCAATTCTCCTGCCTCAGCCTCCCGAGTAGCTGGGACTACAGGCAAGCACCATCATGCCCAGCTAATTTTTGTATTTTTAGTAGAAACGAGGTTTCACCTTGTTGACCAGGATGGTCTCGATCTCTTGACCTCGTGATCCACCCGCCTCGGCCTCCCAAAGTGCTGGGATTATAGGCGTGAGCCACCACGCCTGGCAACCAGTCAACATTTCTAGAAAAGTAACCATAGGGCTGGGCATGGGTGGCTCACACCTGTAATTCCAGCATTTTGGAAGGCTGAAGTGGGTGGATCACAAGGTCCGGAGTTCGAGACCAGCCTGGCCAAAATGGCGAAACCCCGTCTCTACTAAAAATACAAAAATTAGCTGGGTGTGATGGTGCATGCCTGTAATCCCAGCTGCTCGGGAGGCTGAGGCAGGAGAATCGCTTAAACCTGGAAGGTGGAGGTTGTAGTCAGCCAAGATTACGCCACTGCACTCCAGCCTGGGCAACAGAGCTAGACTCCATCTCAAAAAAATAAAAAAAATAAAGAAACCATAAAGGAACTGGGAGAAAACAAGGGAGAATTGAATTCCTTATAACCTTGTAGTGTACAAGGCCTTTCTACCTGTGAGTCAAAATCCAAAATCTAGAAGCCATAAAGGAAAAGATTGACCCATTGACTTTATAACATGAACATTAGGAGTGGCAAAAACAAAACAAAACAAAACAAAAAACCCCATATTTATAGCTCAGATTACAAGAAAAGGGTACTATCCCTAATACA